GTTACCTATATTTAATTTACGACAAAAGTCGCCTGCTTCCACGTTACCACTTCCAAAAATGGTAGCGGCCACAAACAACAATTGACTTTACGCATTCTCATTTTCCAATCTTCTTATTTGTTTCCTTATCTAGACTGCTCCTAATTTTACACCATACAATTGTAACTACACAGTCTTTTCCAAATTCCTGAAAATCCTCATTAGTGCCTCCTTAAAACTCCTCCTCAGCTCTCCATTTGTGACAGTGGGAGAATATTGTTAGATTGTAAGACCTTATGGTCACTCATGTTGAGTTGTACATTTTTCTATAATTTGAAGGGTGTGTGCTTCAGCATATAGTATCTAAATCTCAAAGCAACATGACCACTTGTGAGGAGGAGTGCTTACCAAATCAGTTATTGATGAATCTAGAGGTTCTGTCCTAAATATATGGGTAATGCTAGGCTTGCAAAAAAAAACAGTACAAAAAACATGACTATGATTCTTATCAAGTAATATTGTATCGTGTTTTCAACTTTTAGAAATCATGTTGTGTCAAATTTTGCTCATATCCGATTCACTTATATATAATCATATATAAAGTCGTATTACGGTGTTAGTGCTTGTATAAAGTACGTATCATACATAAGTTTTGTTCAACCATATTCAAGTCTACTAATTTATTTGACTGGTATGATGAGTCCATTTATTTGTCACTTAAATCCATTAAAACTAAACGTAAACTCAATGATTTTATATCATTTTTATATCGCATTAACAAAGTTATGAAATACAAGGCGTATTTAGCAGGCATGTTGTAGCTGCAATTCAGCATTTGTCTAGTAATAAATAATGATTGCATGGATTGTTACAAAAATATTAATCATCAAAGCTTAGTATAAATATCAGTTATATGAATGACATGCACCGCTATATACATGCAACCATCGCATTATTTGTTACAGCTATATATAAGATGTACATAAAGGTGGCTCAAGGCAATTTGAGGTTAAAGAAGAAATATTAAATGGGGTTTTTTTTTAAATATTATTTTTAAAAAAATATTAATTTATTTTTAATTTTCTATCTAAGAAAGAGACAAAAGAAGAATGTTTTAATGTTGTCAAAAAAGAGATTTTAATTTTTGTTTTTATTTTTTTTACCACAGAGAGGGAGAGAAAATGTGTTTAATTTTAACTTTTATTTTTGTTCTTTAATTTTTTACCAGAGAGAGAGTGTGTGTGTGAGTGAGAGTAAATATGAGTTGACTTTTAAGTATTTTTTTATTTTTTTAAATTTTAAGTTTTTAATGTTATGGATTGGATCATTGGGCCAAATTATTGTAATAAAACTTTTGATTGGATTTAATTTTTTTTGGGGCTTTTATAGGATTTACAATTTAATGAATTTAATTTTTTTTTTGTGGGCTAGTGATGTACCTAAAATTATGGAGCCTTTTAAAAACTTGGGACCTAAAACCCCATGCTTTTTTTTTTCCATATTGTTGGGCCGGTCCTGGATGTACATGTACAGATTCGAGCTTAGGAATCAGCATAAAGTAATCAACCTTGTATTAGCCTCTAGCTTATGGACATACTCGATTCCTCTGTTAATTATAAGTTGTGATGATGCACAAATTGATTTTATTCATCACCTGTCGAGTAATTAATGATTAATTTAGTAATTAAGTAGAGAGAGAAAGTAACACAAGCAAAACAAAGATGTAGAGTGATTCGGTCAATATGACTTATTCTACTATGAAAGGCTAGGATGATATGGTGTTTTATTACTTTGAGTGAAAGTTGGTCAAGGAGAGTAATGGAGATACAAGCTATGAGAGAGAGATGAAAGTGATAGCAAAGGTGTTCTATGCCCCCCAAATATTGGCGGAGCTTACAATTTATAGTACTTCTTAATAGACTGAAGCGTCTTTTCAGTAACTAAGTGGCTAATCTGGTAGAGCTGGAGCTATTTTCTCAATGGCTGAGATAGTTACGGAGCTCCCTTTAAGATCAGTTCAAAGGATGACATGGTAGTTGATTTATTCCAAGGTGGCATGGATGAGGCTTTTGGGATGATGCTCTCTACTCCATAGTGATGTAATTCTCTGAACCCTGATGAGTCTGACTGGGCATGAACATCTTTTAGACTGGATCTATTGAATCTCGTCCAATTAGACTCTTTTATTCAAGCTAAGCTTATAACTTGAGTTCGGTCTTTGGGCCTGGCCCATCAAGCCGTATGGCTTCCACCTAAAAGCATACACAAACGGATCCAGAGTTTCTATACCAACAAGAAAGAATACCAACCTCAATATTGTGTATAAGTCATTTCTTTTGTCCTTCTAGCATACACAACTCCTTAAACTAGGCTTGACTAAGAAGCGTTAAGGTTCTTCTTATATGTATATGCATGGGTGGATCGTCATTTTCTTTTCTGTAAACTTTCAACGATTCACAACATTCATAATTGTGGTAGAGCAGTACTATCAAACAAAATAACGTAAACAATGGTAGTAGTAACTTACAAATCAAAGGGTGGTGGTTGAAGAGAAAAGGCTAAAAGCGCTTTTGCATAGAATGTGATCACGTGAGAATAAATAAACATTTTATGCCGGGAAAAGGTTCATGATATTACGGGAGTAACGTAAAATTCCGGCGTAACAGCCAGACCACGTACGCTTGCCTGGCTAAGGTGTGCCGTGAGGGAATGCGAAGTATCAAAGAGGCATATTCCACCATTTTTGGACTGTACTTGACTCTCTATTCTTCAATGGAGAAGGTTCTAGATGGTTTTTTGGCCTTTTATACTCCTCTTATATATCTCTAGAGAAAGTAGTCCCACACTGTTCATTAATTAATTAACTCCTAACATATATGTCAATTTGAGTTTTCATTTCAATAATAAGATTATAATTAGAACTTAATATCCTAGGCTATTGATGAACCAGGTGATATAATCTTACTAAAGATGTCCAACAACTACAATCACAATAAAATTATTGGATCAAGTCAACTGAAACAACACATTAAACCTGAATTTTCAACTCCAACTACATTGCTCTTGATTTATACAAGTAATCCTATGATCGTGGCTAGGGGTTTAATTTAATGAAGTATGGGCTTGGGCAAAATCTCAAGGAATAAATATTCAATATGATAATGGTACTATGTCATCATTTAAACCTAGTATCACTAGCCAATTATAGTAAAATCCAACTAATCCGATATAAGAGTCATTAGATGTGGAATTAGCTTGTGATTATAAAATTTGGTGGGATTCACAAATCATATATATTTAATTCTTGTTTGTGTGATAATACGTAATAATAACGTTATATGACACGTTAAGTTTGTTACATTAAATGTTAAATCGGTGTAGACCTTTCCTAAAAAACTGTGTCCAAATAAGTTGTACTGTCTTATGGAGCTTCTCTTATGAGGTAAATTTGGTAGGTACCTCAGGCACGCGACTCTTAGGCAGTAGATAATAAACATTCTTAGTTTGGTGAAAGATTTCATCTTGTGCTACCAACTGTAACTGTGACTCTGGCCACTTGTCATGCAACAAGGATGGCTTCAAAGCGCACATTTCCCTTAAATCTGCTATATAAGTTGCCTATGTTGAAGCACAACATTCTCATAGCTTCATCAACTGCATGAGATTGTGGGANCTTTCAACGATTCACAACATTCATAATTGTGGTAGAGCAGTACTATCAAACAAAATAACGTAAACAATGGTAGTAGTAACTTACAAATCAAAGGGTGGTGGTTGAAGAGAAAAGGCTAAAAGCGCTTTTGCATAGAATGTGATCACGTGAGAATAAATAAACATTTTATGCCGGGAAAAGGTTCATGATATTACGGGAGTAACGTAAAATTCCGGCGTAACAGCCAGACCACGTACGCTTGCCTGGCTAAGGTGTGCCGTGAGGGAATGCGAAGTATCAAAGAGGCATATTCCACCATTTTTGGACTGTACTTGACTCTCTATTCTTCAATGGAGAAGGTTCTAGATGGTTTTTTGGCCTTTTATACTCCTCTTATATATCTCTAGAGAAAGTAGTCCCACACTGTTCATTAATTAATTAACTCCTAACATATATGTCAATTTGAGTTTTCATTTCAATAATAAGATTATAATTAGAACTTAATATCCTAGGCTATTGATGAACCAGGTGATATAATCTTACTAAAGATGTCCAACAACTACAATCACAATAAAATTATTGGATCAAGTCAACTGAAACAACACATTAAACCTGAATTTTCAACTCCAACTACATTGCTCTTGATTTATACAAGTAATCCTATGATCGTGGCTAGGGGTTTAATTTAATGAAGTATGGGCTTGGGCAAAATCTCAAGGAATAAATATTCAATATGATAATGGTACTATGTCATCATTTAAACCTAGTATCACTAGCCAATTATAGTAAAATCCAACTAATCCGATATAAGAGTCATTAGATGTGGAATTAGCTTGTGATTATAAAATTTGGTGGGATTCACAAATCATATATATTTAATTCTTGTTTGTGTGATAATACGTAATAATAACGTTATATGACACGTTAAGTTTGTTACATTAAATGTTAAATCGGTGTAGACCTTTCCTAAAAAACTGTGTCCAAATAAGTTGTACTGTCTTATGGAGCTTCTCTTATGAGGTAAATTTGGTAGGTACCTCAGGCACGCGACTCTTAGGCAGTAGATAATAAACATTCTTAGTTTGGTGAAAGATTTCATCTTGTGCTACCAACTGTAACTGTGACTCTGGCCACTTGTCATGCAACAAGGATGGCTTCAAAGCGCACATTTCCCTTAAATCTGCTATATAAGTTGCCTATGTTGAAGCACAACATTCTCATAGCTTCATCAACTGCATGAGATTGTGGGACTGGCCGGGAGAGAGAGAGAACTACAGTTGGGTTCCATCAGAGACCCAGCTTGTTCAATCTTCAAAGAAAGTGAGCAAGAGAGCCAGAGTATTTAGTGTTTAAACTAATTAATCAAGAGATGGCGATATTTGACCATCACCACCCATGGTTGTTCACAGTTGGTATCCTAGGTAATTAAATTTTTTTACTAAAGAGAGTGTTAGGTAAAATTCACTTACATTCCTTACCCCTTCATTTTTATCATTCTTGTCAACCTTCCAATAATTCTGTCTGACAATAAGATAGAAAATGTGTTTAGTACGTAGCATTAATTAAGGAGACTGGTAGATTTGATCGAAAAGCTTTATGGTATTCGCATTTTAACTACATTTTATTTTCTTGATGTGTTTCAGGTAACATTATTTCGATCTGTGTGTACCTTGCTCCCATGTAAGTAGTTTTTTTTTCTTGTGGACTTCTTCTTAATCAGTACCTGTGGTGTAGTTCTTCCTATGATTGAAGGATTATGTTGATGATGGAGAGGGATGGACGTACCAATTTCATTGCAGGCCAACATTTGCCCGGATTTGTAAAAGTAAATCAACATTGGGATTTCAATCGCTGCCTTATGTAGTAGCACTATTCGCTGCCATGCTTTGGATGTACTATGCAATGCTTAAAAAAGATGCAGTCCTCCTTATCTCCATCAACTCCTTCGGATGTGTCGTTGAGACAATTTACGTAGTCATTTACCTCGTTTATGCATCAAAAGAGGCCAAGGTATACCACTTACTTGATCACCCCTATCTTTTATAATTTTTCTTCTATATAATTGTAGTACCCTTTTTATCATCTTCTAAGCATATATGAATCTTCTGCTATATATATATGTGTGCGTGTGTGTGTGTATATATATATTACAGAACTATACGGCCAAACTTCTTGCTTCTATGAATGTGGGGTTGTTCTCTGCCATATTTCTCCTTACTTTCTTTCTGGTGAAAAGCTCCCACCGGGTCCTAGTTGTTGGATGGATTTGTGTTGCTGTCTCCGTGAGTGCTTATGCCGCACCTCTAAGCATTGTGGTGAGTCAGAACATTTAACACAAAAAATTTACCTACCAATCTCGCCGTTTGATTTTGTATTTTTCTTCCTAACTTTTTCATATTTTTTGTCTTTTCCATTTCCTTTGTCCTTCACAGTTTCAGGTTGTCCGAACTAGGAGCGTTGAGTTCATGCCATTTACATTATCTTTCTTCCTCACAGTGGGCGCGGTTACGTGGTTTGGTTACGGTCTGCTGCTGAGGGATATATGTGTAGCTGTAAGTTATCATGCTTTGATAATTTGTACATCTGTACGTAGAGTATATATATATATATAACACTAATATCTGTATTATTTATTTGGGGTTTTTGGATTTTGTAGCTCCCAAACAGTTTGGGTTTCTTCTTAGGACTGCTTCAGATGCTGTTATATGGTATCTACAGAAATGCCCAGAAAGTGGTGGAAGAGAAAAAGCAACAGGAACACATAATGAACATAGGGATGATAGGAGGAGGAATACCTGAGATACACTCATTTGATCACTCTCAACAACGTGGCAGAGACAATCACACAACTGTGGCTGCTTCGCAAAGAGAAGAACCCGGCGGACAAATGAATTTGCAGATTCCAGACTGATACACCAGTGGTTGTCGTGTGTGCACCTTGATTCTCTTTATTTGCATTCTGTTCTCTCTCCACCACTCCGCCTCTCTCTCTCTCTCCACCCCCTCCCCCCAACCCCACCCCCCCCCCCGCGGGTGGTGTTG